GACCTGACCTAATCTGATTTACTTTGAAATGCCACCTTTATTTTCATCTTCAGAGAACTCTATATTGAAATCGATATCGATGATGGCTTTAGGGAAAAAAAAACAAAAACAAAACAAAACAAAAGACAACGAACAACTCCATACTTAACTGAGTAATAGATGCTTAGACATCTGTAGCTAAATACTTTTGTCTTGTAGTTGTGAAGTGCACTGTGTCAGTGCTCTCCGTGTATCATGTGCATGTTATCTTCCACTCTTGCAATTGCTATTCCAGAGCATGCTGTTTTCTGATTTCCATCAAAGAGCTTAGATTTTAACACCGAGAAAGAGCCCAACGTTTTGAATGCAATTCTTTTCTCTCACACTACAGTTCATGGGTGGGAAAAAAAAAAACCAACAACAACAAAAACCAAGCAAAGAAAAACATCTGAAAGTAGGAATTTAAAATCAAGATTAAACTGCTCCAATGCAGCAGGAAGAACACGCTGGCTGAGAGGAAGAGATTTCTCATAACAACTGATTTTGCTACACAGAATCACAGAATCACGAGGTTGGAAACTACCTGCAAGATCATCTAGTCCAACCACTCTCCCATTCCTATTAGTACCACAAGCTACTAAACCGTATCTCGTAGCTACTGCTACTGAGTTTCTTGACTCGAGTTCACTTGAACTTGGTTCCTGATGCTGAAATATGGTGCAGCTTTGATGCTAAAAAGACAAAAAAACAAACAAACAAACAAAAAAAAACTGGGCAGATATTGTGAACAACTCAAAGCTGATGACAGTTTTAAAATTTCGTGTTGTGCAAATGTTCAATTTTTTGTTGTTTTAAAGTTCTAAGATTACTACCAGTGTTGGATACAGCTTGCCATATTGGTGAACTCATGTTGCTCCTGTCCACAGAGCAGCTTTGCAAGTGGTGGGGATAAGACACAATTTGGTATTTTCTTAGCCCTGGTTTTCAAGCTAGCCTAGTTTTAAATATGAAACAGAAATATAAATACAAAAATCTTTCTACAGTCTTCTGTATGGTCTAGTATGGAAGTTGCTGTTTACAGCACACTGAATTACAGGTATGAAATTACAGTCTAAATGGCATTAGTTACAGAAATGTAAGTGTTTCAAAGGGTTTGAAAGCAAAGTGAGGAAAAGTTGACATGGGATGCCTGCTTTTCAGTAATTATCTTTCAGATTGTTGCCTTTTTTAAAAAACATGAAATTCTCTGTTAATTTTATGATAATTGTACATTTACTTCTACTTTGATATGTGATTGTTTAAAGACTTAATGACGTCAAAGCGCTGCTGCTGTATTTGTATGCCTGTGTTATAAGACAGTGGCTTCGATCCGAGATGTGAATTCCCCAGTGAGCTTGTACAAGACAGTGTTGTTGGCAAGTGTCGCTGGGTTAAAGGAAGGGGTGAAGCAGAAACATAGCATCTTTTGGAAAAAGTAATTTAGCCACAAGAACCTTTGGAATTCTTCTGGGATTTTTAGGAAGACATGGAATAAAGTTGACTTAGCCAGCGAGACAGAAAATACGTTGGTTTAAAGTAGAGGCTTTTGGTACTCTAGGGTGCTTAGTTAACATTCAGAGTGCGGATGATAGAAGAGTTGGTGCACACTGTAATTTTTTTTAAAGATGATGTTTTAAGCCCTCGTATTTCAAATGCAAATTGCTCAGCCATTTCCACTGGAATCAGAATAGTGAAATGGCTCTGTCCACATTAGCACTTAACAGCAAGATGATTCTTTTTTTTTTTTCTTTTTTAAATTAGCTTACTGTAGAACCAGATGGCACCAAAAGTATAAGCCATGTTTCTTACTAATGGCTCTCTGTCCCTCAGATTATTTTTCCTGATTTTTTTTTTTTAAGTCCTCTTATTTTTGGTGCAATGCAGGTATTTTGAGTTTTTGATGGTGCCATGAAGGAGGAAGGTAAATTAATGCAGTAGTAAATCCAAACCCTTCTCGTTAATGAGCTTTTCCAGTAAGTTTTATAAGCTGATGTTTGAATTACTTTACTGAACAACTTTCCCCATTTTACTCCTTTGTTTCTCCTCTCTGGGTTCTCTTTGGTACAATGCTGGGGACTCCCGAGTAGAGATGGTCAAGTCGGAAGAAGAGATCTTCATCCAAGGTAATTCATACTTTTTCTTTTCAAAAAGGTCTATTCCCCAAATCTTTGTGCTCTCGTCTGTAACAAACTGAAAAGCATCATAACTTTGGAGGTCTAGGTGCAACCTAAGTGTGGTAGTTGCCATTCCCTTTGCTTTTTTGATTTTTCAGTGTGATGAGAAATTACTTTGGTTTTCTTACAGTATGTTCTATGGTCGCACCTATCAGCAAATGAGAGTAAGGCCTTGTTTGGCAAAGTAATGTAGAAGGAGTCTGAACTATCTGAAAATGGGAGTAAATTCATCCTGGAGCCTGGGCAGACTGATCTGGAGGTTGGCAGCCCTTCCCATGTCAAGGGAACTAAATGATCCTTAATGTCCTCTCCAACCTAAACCATTCTGATTCAAAAACAACAGCAACAAAAAGCTGTGGAGGATTTGAATTGTTTAGGAGTACCTGAATGTGTAAGCACTGGTTTTGAAAGCAGGTCTGCTAGATCACAGTTGGATTGGCTGGGGTGTGTCTTGCCACTGGAGGAATTTGTGAGGCAGTATTTATGTCTGTTGGTTACTTCTGTGGGTTTGCAAATTCCTTTTGTTCTCAGGATGGAGAAAGAGCAGGCAGTTATCATTACCAGCAATGTAATAGGATTTTCAAGACTTGTGTTGCTACGTATCTATGGAACATGTTTACCTTGGTCTTTTCTAGTAGCCATGAAGGTTGCCATTACATCTGCTTTCCTGCAGTATCCCATTTTTGCATGAGATTTTAACTGATTCAGAAAACAGACCTGTGGCTTTTCATTTGTTCTGTAAAGCTTTAATTTGCTATTGAGTAAGTAATAATGATATAGAAACTGCAAGGCCCAATAGTCATCCTGAGAGCCATGAAGGCTGACCTCCTGAAAATCAAAATCTGGCTCCTATGAGAACACGTATACATCTTGATATTTTCCCTTTATAACTATCCATTTGTGCCTACATCAATTGAATAACGAACCTCCTCTTGTTTTATTCATCGTAACTGTGTTGTGGTATGTAGAAGAGCCTATTCTCTCAGGTATTGTCCCAGCAAAAATATTTCTGTAAACAGAAGGTGGTGCAGAGCAGAGCCCCTGGAGCTGGCTGGTGGCTCAGCAAGTCCTGGTTCTGGGGATAACACAGACCTGTTAGTGCTGTGCTTGCAGAGGGCTGCCAGACATCCCTGAATTCAATACGACAGAAAGCGATGGAATAATTGAAGAGCTCAGTGCTTCAGTTTTTAAGTAAAGCTCTTGAAATTACTCTGCCCTCACTCAGCTGGTGTAGCTCGATCCCCCTCACGCAGGCACACACAGTTGTCTCTTGGCGCTGGTTGGCTTTGGGTCCCAGGAAAGGGAGACAGGTTTTAAACTCTGCTCCTTTTTGTGCAGAATAGCCAAACTTCTGTCTTGGTCGCTGTCGTGTGTTTTTTTTCTACTGTATGCTGTATCTCATTGCATTTTGAACAATCTTTTTTATATACACCCTTTTTTAGACCTTCAGCTATAAGCCATATTTTCAGGTCTGACACTTCTCAAGACTCCGGCTTGTGCCGAGGCATCTTTTTAAATAAAATTGAGATGCTAAGGCATGGGACCAAGTTACGGGAGATGCAAGTGATGTTTAAACGAGGAGGGGGGAAAGCTGCAACCTTGTGCTCTATTCATTTACAGTCACTAGAGGGTAGGAGAGCTTCAGTTCTTCCAAGCGAAGACATAGTTCATGCTCCAGTGTGATCTCTAAAGAAAAAGCTCTGTGACCATCCAAAGGCACTAAAAATATTTCCCGGCATGCAGTGGCAAAATCTGACAAAGCAGTATTTCCTAGTTTATTGATTCTGCTACTGCACTAAAACACTAGTACTGTACATCAATAACCATCTTTAGTTAGGAAACTCTGGGCTGTGGAAGCAGTACTAGCAGTTTGTGGCAGAACATAAAGGCAAGAAAGAAAAATGGTGTGCGTGGGGAATATAGGTGTCTAGGGAAGGCACAAGAGGTTATGGAAGAATGGCCAGAGAGTATGATGGGGTAGAAAACAATGTTGCTGGACGAGATAAAGATACAGCAATAAGGGGGGCAGGGGAAATGGGAAGAGCTCTGTAATGCATGCACAAACTCATCTCCTTTTTGGCTCCTGAGCTGACTCCGGTTGGTTGTCGCAGGAATGAAGGCCATATACTTTCCATTTGAGCAGCTGAACTGAGACAGATCTAAATTTCATCTCTTCAGGTTTAAGCAAATAGAAGTTTTCTATTAGGAATGGTTTTCTTGACTTCATTAAAAGTGAACTATAGCTGACCTATATTGTAATATTTAGCTTTTCTTTTCCTGAAAAAAAAAAAATGCAAGGAAAATGACTTACTGTGAGGATGGGCAAAAATGAATATATCTCATTTTTTTTCTTCCCTTACATGAGAAAAATTGAGCTATACTCTGTTTTGGCCGTTTTGTGTTATCTCAGTGCACTTAGCAGATTTGGAACATGACTATTTTAAATGAATTGTTGCATTAGCTGTGGGGTTCCTGCTGGCTTCACCCCAGATATGTAGTACCTCTGTTGGTAGTATTAATGCCCAATGTGACTCTGTGTCAGACAGGTGAAGGGACTCACCTGGGCTGTTGTAGATGCTGCACACTTTTCATGTGTGTTCTCCACATTCCCTTGTTTTTCCAGGGAAAAAAAGCTGCATTTCAGACAACAATAGAAACAGCAGCAGGATGAGTTAATCCAGTCTAGCTACAGTAGTTTCACATTCGTTACGAATATTATGCAGGAAGGATTTCAGCGACTGAATATTGTCTTTTAAATCATTTTGGTGCAAGAGCTGTTAAACTGGATGATTTAGCTATCTGTTGATTACACAGTATATATCCTTCACTGCTGCTAGAGGGAATCATTGCACATTTGGGCAGCACCCCAAGACATGGGCAGCACATCCAGAGCCCTCATTTTTCATGGGAGCTGAGAACTGCATTGTCCTCTGCAGGAGCTGTCTCCAACAGTGCAGCTTTCTTCTTTCTCATGGAGAGTGGCGTTGCAAAGGGAAGGGGATGCTGTTAAGTAGCACTAACACATGAGCTCATGTCTGAGTATTGGCAAGTTCTACCGTCTTTAATGATTTTATTTCTATTTTTCTGGAGCTATCTGGGGTGCAGAAGGAGTTGGTAACCGCCTCTGCCAGAGTCTGACGAAGTGATGCTCAGTAGCCTTGTTTGTCCCGGGTGGTTTGAGTCTTGCCCCAAGAGTCCCGTGTGCTATTTCCAGCATTTGTACAGCTGAGTAACCTTTAAGTGTTGAACATCTCTGAAGCAAATAAGCAGGTTTGCTTGGGGTGGATTGACCTGCAGCCGTTCAGTCCTGAAACAAAAGCGACGCAATTGCCACCTTGATAGCCGAAGCTGATTGAATAAATTGGTTGAAAGGCTGACCGGACCCAAGCGTTTCTCGGCGTCTCATCGCAGGGGAAAATCCCTTGCTCTGCTTTTTCTGCGTGGGCTGTTAGGTTTCATTTTGGCCTGCCTCATTCTATTTGCCTTTCTCCCACAATACCCCGTGGGCAGCGGCGTGCTCGGAGCGTTCTGCGGAGCGCAGGGACTCGGCTGCCACGGGGTCACGCATCGTGGCGGCAATCTCGTGTCGCTTCACTTGCAATTCTCGCTGCCCTCTCCTCTATCCCAGGGGGAGACTGCCTCTGCAAAATGGTTTCCCTGCCTAATGAGGAGAGGTCCAAAGAGTCTTCTATTTGCGTGTTGTTGTTTTCTCAAACGGCAAATTATGTGGCCCAGTTTCTACGTTGACCTCTTCACAGGAATTGCAGCAGGCTTTCTGTTGTCCTGTCTCATCCTTTTAAATGAAAGATGTGAGAGATGGGCTCACTTCACACTTGGCCACCTCACCGTGTCATTTAAATGTACAATTTTTCTGCATCTCTTTATTGCTTCAAAAAACAAGTTTGAACTTGGGGCGCGTGTGTGTGTGTCAGGAAAAGAGACAGATTTGAAAGAACTCCCGATGCACCAGAGGGGATTCACTGGGTGCCTACAGAGGGACATTATATCCAATGGTTTTCACAGGGAGACTCAAGCTCCTAAAGGGTTTTGTGAAGCTGTGGGTCAATGAGTCCTCTCTTTCTCCTCCAAAACTCACTCTTGCTCATCTCTAATGTTAGTCTCTGTGAAGGCAGTGTGGCTCACCTGCTTGTTCTCATCCAGCTTTCTTCCTGAAACCAAGACCAGAAAGTAGCAGAAAACTGGAAGCTGGTGCGAGAAGCTTCTCTACTCATTTTTGAAATCAGCAACTAAATTTTGGAAATGGTACTGTCAGCACTGGTGGTTTTTTCCTGTTCAGAGATGCAGGTTTTTTCCAGGAAGAAAGTGTATGGAAAAGAACCACCTTTGTTCTTCATTTGACAGGGTCCTGCTCCATGACAAGGCTTCAGAAAATATTACTGCTTACCTGATGTTTTGCAGTCCCTAAATCTGCAATAAACATGAGTGCTTAGACTTGAAATCCTCTGCGTGTTTTTGGGCTTGTTTGCTTTTACAGTACAGCTTTCTTGGATGTTCTTGTGCTCATTTTCTTTGTCATGTTTGTGTGGGAAACATTTTGTTTCACTTCTTACCCATTTTTACAGCATCGAGCTGCTCATAAAGATGACTTTTATGGTGTCGCTGGTTATTTGCAAGCCAACACCCACATTAGATGCATGTATGAATATTTTTTAATGCGTGGAGAGCTCAGGTGAAGTCAGAGCTCTTGAGGCGACCCCACAAATTCTGATCTCAGGGCCAGAAGCTTAATTTCTGAATGATGGATGCTGGATTGGGGGGGGGGGGGGCCCCAAGTGAACTTGTCCAATATCTTGTGCTTAGGACACCTGCCAACTGCCATCATAAAGCATGTGTTGCCTAATTTTCAGCTCTCTAGTCAAACCTTAGCTGCAGCCAACTTTTCTGTACCTCGGCAAAGCACCTTGATTTTGGTTTGGGATGTAGCCAGAGTGTGAACTGGCTGACTGCAGCATTTGGAGGGAAAATGCAGCGGGAAGCCTGAAGCCTGGCAAGTGGTTGGGGAGCGCAGCTGGAAAGAGCAGGGTTCAGAGACAGGAGGAGCTGGAGCACCCATATGAAGAGGCGTCTGCAGCTTTGGAGGCAGCAGGGAAGGAAAGAGCTGAATAGCTAAAAATGTTTTCTAATTATCACTGAGCAAGCCACCTATGCTGGGTGGCATGCAGGGGCTTTGATTTTCCTGGTGTGAAGGCAGATTAGTGTAGTGATGGTTAGGGGAATTTGAAGTGGGTTTTGTACTGCTTGTTTTGCTTTAACTTTGGTGGACTAATGCAGGCTAATGACTGCAGTGCTCTGTGCTCTGTTCTGTAATAGTTTTGCGAACTCGGAGTGAGGCTGTGAAGTTTAATCAATTAACTCTGTGTAAATCTGTTTGAAATAAGTATACATGGGGTATCAGAGAGGAGCTGGGACTTTTGAAATAAATAATACAGTATGGATTTCTTTTCACCTGGGAGACATTTTCTGTAGTACAGCCTTCCCCAGGCAACATTAAAATTGACTCATTGATGGTTCAGGTCTTTGGGTGTACCACATTTGGCTTTCCCTGAACATGATTCCTTCCAGAAAATGGAGAGGAAACTGAGACATTGCCTGTTAGGCCAGGATTTCGATCAGATCAGGGTGGTCAGAGGAATAGCCTGCCAACTGTGTGGGAATGCTGAGGAGGGAGCTGCAGAGAAAGCACAGTTCAGGTCTTCGGTGTTCACATAGGAAATATGAGGCACGGGAGACTTCTCAGACCTGCTAAGCCATGGTTAAGGGCAGGAAACCCAAAGCATTGCTGATGTGATTGGGCCCCGAGGGAAGCAGCCTTCCTGGGACATCATGTGCTCCATTTAGAAGGAGGATTACAGGGACAATTGCTGTACTGCGGAAGCAGACAACATTGCTGAGATGGTGCAGATCAGCACCGTATTCTGAACCAGCTGAAAACGTTTTGGCTCCTCTAAAAGTGCGGTGCTTTAAAGTGATGTTTGATCTTGTCCAGAAAATAGTCAGGTCCTGTTTGCACAGCTTGTGGCCAACATACTCCACTCCTGAGCTGGACTCAGCACCCCAGCACAGAATGCTTTGCAGCTGCCCAGCCATGCAGTAGGGCTGCACAAGGCTGTTTGCTCAGGGTCAGCTGTTTTGGGAGGTCAGAGTTGAAGCATTGCAATGTGCTCTGATAGTACTGAGCTGCAGGTGCTGATGTTTCCTGGGAATGGTTTGAGTACCTCCCAGCTCTCCTTTGATCTATCAAGCTAGGGGCTGAGAAGGCAGGATTATATTTTAGACTGAATTTGGGTAGGAGGACCCCCACCCCCCAGCACTGAGTGACTCCCTAAAATACCTGACTAGCTAAAAAATGAAAAGAATCCAAATTTGATTTGCAAACTCAGTGATAACAACTCTTTCCGTGTTCGGTCTGGAAGCTTTGAAGAGAATGGGATGCTTTATTTTTAAAAGAAATTGTAATGTGAATTATAAACTTTGTCTTTTTTTTTTTTTTTTTGTGGCCTAACATCAAATACCTCTTCCTCCTCCGAGGAAGGGTGAGGGGGGGGGGGAGGGAAAATCCTTGGTCCGCAAGCAGCAAGTACATCACATCAAACATGACTATGTTAAATACTAAAATGTTCAAAGTACAACTGAGATAGATAAAGGCTTTGATGGGAAGTGGATATTTCCCAGGGACATTACAAGCAATAATCCAGATGTTATGGTGTAATGCAACGAGTGTCCATGGATAGATCGGGAGCTCAAGCCAAGCAGCGCCTGCTGTAGGCCTTAGCCCTCCACTCCCATGCTGTTACGCCATATGGAAGCAATCTCCAGGCCCCTTTAATAGCCAGCTTTGGATTCCATTTTCACAGGGCTCATAGAGCTAAGTGGAGCTGTTTTATGGACAAGTTAGATAGAAGCTTTTCCAAGATAAACATCCAATTCGAAATTAGGACATACCAAGCTGCAAAATTATTTTAGGGCATATTTCATGGAAGCACTGCCATTTTTCTAAGGCGATTGCCAGACTGCAGAATGCCCTTTGATCCCTTGTGGACATTACTCCCTTTTTTATAAAAAGGATTTTGAAATAGTTGCAGTGTTTAGGGAGGAATATATCTGCCGGGTCTTTGAAGTATGTCCATGGGAACAGTCATGCTTTAGTTTTTTGGCCTAAAAGACAAACTTTAAAAAAAAAAAAAGAAAAAGAAAAAGAAAAAAAAAGAAAAAAATTACGTTGCAGCTGGATTTATGAATCAAAATCTCATTTTCTTTTCAAAGGTAGGAATTTTTCTCCAGTGTGCCAGGAAAGCCAAACAGGGTATTTAAATAGGAGTATATTAATATGCTTGTGGGATCCAAAGAGTTGGGTATTTTAAAATAAGAAGCGAGTAAAAATTTGTGAGTTCACCACCCGTGATTTAAGAATTTTGTAGCTGGGTAATTGATCCATAAAAAGTAATCTTCTGACATCAGGTGCTTTTTCAATCGTTTTATTTAGCAACAACATTTCTTACTTGCTTTTAAAGCCAACACGTCCTGCTTTAAAGTGACTTGTGAAATCTCCTCTGTCCATCTCCCACCTGTATATGATATGATTGAAGCTCCAAAGTGTGGCGAGTTAGAAGTTGCTTCCCAGGAATAAAATATGGTAGGGCTTTTACTGCGAGAAGAGGATAGCCTTGAGTTTTAACATTTCCAGCTCTCACTCTTACTCCCTCCAAATAAAGGCCTATTTAATCATCCTCTGTCCAATAAAATACTGCCAGTTAGCAAACTGTTAGTGCAGCCGTGCTATGTAAGAGGAAATTGTGAAGGTAACAAATGTGCCTACTAGGTAACCATAACTCCTGATGAAGAGCCCAGTCGTGTCAGTGCTTTTCAGCAGGCGTCGGTGCTTTTGGTTCCTGAGCTGGATTTCTGGAAGCTGTAGCTCCCAAGGTCTGCAGGTAAAGAGCTAACGCAAAGGGCACACAATGAGTGGTGGAAGATGTGGCTTCAGTTCTTCACCTGGCTATAGGTTGTGTATGGCTGTAGGCTGCCTCACAGGAAGGCATATACCCTGGTTTTATGGGTGTAGCTGGAGACGTTTGCTTTCATTTCTTCCCTCTTCGTTTCTGTCCCTTCTTCACATCAGTCTCCTGAGTCTTTCCCTAAGACGAGGTAACAGATTGCTCTATGCACTCAAGCTCTGCTGTTTTTGAAGCTCAGCCAGGTTTGCTGGTGTTGACCTCTCTGGTAGTTTAACTAAATGTGCTGATGCTGTTTTGATGTGGATTATGGTCCCTTCACAAAGTCAGCTGTAGCATGGAGTAGGCAGAAAACCCTTAGTTTTTTTGTGCCCTCAGTTCCTTGCTTGCTGCGAGGAACTGCTGGTACCTCTCTTACTTCTGATGATTTCACTGTCAGCGTATGCATAAGCACCTGGCTTAGGGTGTATAACTGTTTTGTGTCTCCAACTTGCTTTTCAGTCGAGTTTCATGCGGAGCATGCGACTCTCTGACTCTTTGTGCAAGAACCAGCTGTGGAATGGACAGGTCACCATCACACTCCTGGAAGGGAGGAACATCCCCTTAGAGGGCTTGGCAGAGGCTTTTATTCTCCTGAAACTGGGAGATCAAAGATACAAGAGTAAGGTAAGTACTCAGAATTTCCTCCAGTTTGGAACTATCCTTGAATTTTTCTTTTTTTATGTAAGTGAGATCAAAAGCAGGAGACCAGTTCAAAGATGTTTATTGATGTTTACTATATACAGCAATGCAGAAATAAGGAAATTGGGAGCATTGTATCTATTTTTGTGCATTTAACACGCTCATCATATTGATGGATGCCCAGCGTTAACGTGAAATGAAACAAGGCTACATGCATCACACATGTTCCTTCTCTTCTGCCAATACAGAAGTCAGGTTTGCAATGTTAGCTATGCTGGGAAAGCAGACCTGAAATGGTTCCTGCTGATGGGGAATGTTTTGGGTTTGTTTTTTTTTTAAGCGCTTTTCTTGAGAAATGTTACCTTTAACGGAAAGGGGGGAAAAAAAAAGAAAGGAAAAAGCCCACCACCAAACCATAGAACACCTGGAACATTACAGAGTTTCGCTTTACGATTTTGTTCTTTTAGGCTGTATTTACCTGCATAAAGTACCATTTCACAGAAAACACAGAAATGAGTAGGGTTCCCAAAGATACATGTTTCATCTCCAAGGTCTAATAAGGAAATAAACAGTAATTAAAATACTATTCTCTTGAGAAAGCAAAAGCTCCTCGCGTCATGAGCTGGAAATGTTGAGGGAGGAGGAAACAAACAAAATCCCTCCCGTACAAAATGAGCAGAGCAAGTTCACAGAACAGAGCGTTCAGATGTAGACTGAAACCTGCAGTCTTGTCCCCTACAAAAGACCTCAACCAAGGCCACGATATGATGATTTTATTTTGAAAAGCAGCTTTGGAAAGTTACAAATGGTTTAGTTATTCTAGAATAAATACACAGTATTCTAGTTAAGATCCCTTTTTATGTTTCTCTTTATGGTCCATAGCTTGTGTTATGAATCTGAATGACTCTCCATTGTTTGCAGTCACAGAAAATTGAAAAGTTTAAAAGAGGGAGTTCAGGCCAATGTTGCCTGCACTGAATTAATTGCTTAGTACTTCTGTCTGGAGTCCAGCGAGAGTTGGGGACCGCAGCTTTAACGCTGCAGAAGGAATTCAAATTGTCTGTACTTCATGTTCTTTCCTGGAGTTTATTTAACTTATGAAGTACAATCTCATGGTCCAGAAAAGCAGCCAGGGTGGAGGAAATCTCAGTCATGGTCCAGCTAATCCTATCTCCTGTTCTCTCAGTGGCCATGCTGATGGTGGTTAGTGTAGTGTGATATGAATTGCAAGTGATTTAAGTCTCAATTCAGTGAATACTTGCATTCTCAGAGTAACCTGAAAGTGTGAGAGATAGCCCTGAACCAGAAGGACAATATAGATACCAAATGAGCGGCATGTTAATATTACCAAAGCTGCTTCTTTATTGCTAATATCTTAATGTTAAAGAGTGAAGAATACTAGCTTGAATTTCTGAATTAATTCAAACCTGCTTTAAGGTGATCATCTTCATAAGGCAAATTCATGATTTCTTCTGGCATGAGCGATGTTGACTGATGACTGTGGTTCAGTGAGAGTGGAACTGGAGGGATCCACCTTGCAATTCCTCAGCCATTCATTATACTGCATTTGAATAGCTAGCATGAGGAAGAACTATGAGGCTCTGTTCGATGGACTGTGAAGCTTTACTTTGAATGATCTTCTTAGCATTTGTCTGGCTTTGTTGTAGAAGAAATATATGTGCTTGATTGTGGAAATATGTGCCATTTAAGAAAAGTAAATATTATAACTGCATGTTTTCTAGACACTGTGTAAGAGTGCAAATCCTCAGTGGAGGGAACAGTTTGATTTTCACTACTTCTCTGACAGGAAGGATATGTTGGACATTGAGGTCTGGAGAAAGGATAACAAAAAGCACGAGGAGCTTTTGGGAATGTAAGTTCTTTTTTGGAGGGGGGTTAAATGCAAAAGCTGATGTAATTTATATGACATTCATTTATATTTAGGTTGGTACCCCAACTTATTGCACAATCTCTTGCTATTCAGAGCATCATTTGCAGGGGTGACCTCTCAGGTAATGTCTCTCTCCTTACTGATACCAGGTTTTGTCCTGCTGCAGTATTACGTTATAACTCAAATTCCCAATCTCGAGTCACACTAGCAGCAGACATTTTGTGGGCTGGTTAGTTGAACCTTTCATTTTAATTTCTTAGTAGAAATGGAATATGGCTCCTACTGTTAAGTCCTAATCTTTTTTTTTGTCTAATTCCATCCATTTCTGTACAGTACTAGCACAGTCTTAGTTCCCTAGAGATAACTTCAACTTTCTTCCTATTGCCCTCATCTCTTCTTTTGTCTCCCCAGACTGCATCTGTACAGCTGGATCAGTGCTCCAGCCTCTAAATTCTCAGGGTCAGGGGTGCCATCTGCAGTTGTTCGCATTCTTACCTGTCGATTATTTCACAACTTGCTGACTAAATACCAGTAACTAATAAGAACATCCTCTTGCTTTAAGTATTAAAATAGTTTGAAACTATTCACTGAGAAGAACAATCCCCTTTGGCTCTACAAATGTTTGTGGTTTTGCAGAGCAGGAAATGCTTTCTGGCTGAATGCTGTTGTTCATCACATGGAGAAGTGGCTGGAGATGAATTTGTTCCTTCAGTTCTCACAGTTACTTTTATTATTTCTGATATTTTCTGTTTAGAGTTAAGAAATATAGCAGTGTTTGTGGCCTGCCTCTGTTCAGTCAGTCTCCTTGATCAGGAGGAATTTCTCCTTATATTTTTCCCCTTCTTTTTTTTCCTTTTCAGGCAGGTGTTCAGCATGGCAAAAAGTGATCAGCTTATTCTATAAGCAGTGGCGTTATTAAGGATTTCAGCAAGGGGAAAGCTTGTGTCTGTCAGATTTACCTGAAAGTTATTTTTGCTGTCAGTGGAAAGGAAATACTGCTGTTGCCTTAAGCGCAGTGATTTCAGTGTAGCACCAAAACAGGGAAAAAAATATGCGAGATTTAGCAATGGCATGTGTAGGTGAATACCAAATGTGTAATGACCAGCCTTGTTTGCACAGTGTAGAAACTTTTGAAACCCCATAAATATTTTTTTAATCTGTGGTTCAAGTGCAGTCTAATCTGGAAAAGGTTTTCCTAGGGAAGAAAGCATTATGAGTGCCGTGTTTATTGTCACCGTGACTTCCAAGTTGAGTTTTGAATTCTCTGGATTTCACAACTTTGCTGTAAGGAAGATTCTTAAGTGAAATATCCGTGGGTGTATGCAGTCATTACCTACAGCATTACGTCCCAACTGCTTTCACCTATTTTCATAATTTTGAGGAAAAAGCAAAATCTGCTGGATATTAATAATTCTGTGGTTAACTTGTGGAATTCATTATGTTCTCTCAGGGCTGTGTAGGTTGGACTGTTGGTTTGATGTTAAAATAATGAGTTGTCACATGCTGCTGAACTTCTGTGGAATAAAGACTTCTGTTCATTCCATTAGGCCCACAATTTCATGTAGTATGAATGCTTTAAGCCCTTGGAACGTCTCTCCCAGGCATAATTTGGTTTAAAGGTAAAATATTCTTGAAACAGAGCCTGAAGTGCCCGTGAAGCTTATAGAACATATAGAATAAGAAATGCATTGGACCTTCAGTACTAAACGCTAACACCTGGGACATTTATCTGCTTCTGAATTAGCGAAGTTGTGATTTCATGTCACCCTTCTCCTATTGTGCAATGAACCCTCACTGTCAGGGTGTGCTGCAACCTAAATTATTACATTCAGCCAACCTACATTGTCCTTATATTTCCACTGGGATCCAATTTCTCACGTAATATACTGCAGCACTGAGGGGGGTTCAGCTGCCAGAGTCTGACACTGAGGGGTGGCTGTTCTTTGGTGCTGGATGAAATAATCCCACTATTTAGTCTGCATGGAGCTGCTGCTAACGTTTATGGAGTGCTTTTTGTGTCCTTTGGGATAGGAGGCATGCTATAAACAGGAGATGATGTTAATGTATATTAATAAACAAAGGTGTTAACGTGTGCAGAATTTGTCCAGGCTGTGTTCAATTGTTTATGCCAAGATGGTAGCGAGCGTTTCTGCATTAAGAAATACGTTTTGAAAAAGTGATATTGCCAAAAAATTGGTTCTTTTCACCACAAGTTTGCATCAAGGAAAAGGATTTACAAAAAATCTCAAGACTTAAGGCCATGAGCAGCGTGGTGGGAAAGCATCCAATATGAGGAATGCCTCAGGGAAGCGGTGCCTTTGCAGGCAGGAACAACTTGTTCTAAAGGCCATACAGTTGGGACTTAGTGCTAAAATCTGTGATGACTGGAACCAAACCTTGTAATTAAATTTCACTGAATTTATGTCTACTATACGTCAGAATAGGACCATGTCAACCATCTCTCTGGCACATGTGGCATATGGAATCCCTTTCCAAATATTAACCTTAGGTACATCTTACTGTATACCAATGATGATTCTGACCTCTTTTGTGAAGGGCTTCCAAGGCTTCTAGAGAAAAAAAGGCTACCATTTCTCTTTGCATTGTCATATATACTTAAGTGTATGTAAGGATACTTACCATTATTTGATGGACTGCTTGGAAGTGCTGAAGCCCAGCTCTTCCTAGTGAAATCTTCACATTTTATTCCTTGGTAAATTAAAACAAATTTAGTATATACTGTTCTGAAGTAACGTTTCTCTGCAAAATTAATTGGAAAAGAGTGAATAAAAGATATGGCAGATAAATATAAGGGCTGTAAGCCATAATGTCAAAAGAGCAATCTTAAATGAAAACTAAAGCTGTGGCATATTTCTCTACAGGACTAGAGGTCGGTATAGAGGCTTAAGCTTCTATATTGATCAAGAGAAGGAAGAAAATGGTTTAATTGAGGTAACAGACCTCTATCCTCTGTAGAACATGCGTATGGCCATGTGTGAAATATTATGCCTGAGTTTAATTCCTTGATTTATGGAAGGGTGGCAACAAACAGAGCCATTCTGTTCTGAAATAAGGTTACTACGTTATGAATTTAACTCAGGAGATCATTTGCATCTCCTCAGGTGCAAACAATCTGTGGATTTTGCTCTTTACATTTAGATCTGGCTGATTTTCAGCAAAGCCTGTGGAATGCCTCCATTAGTTTTATGCCGTGGTCATCCCCATAGTCTCTTATTGCTTTCCTGTGAAATAATTATCTATATAAGGTCATTCGGATATGAAGCTGAGAGATGGAAAATGGAGGATTTCTCTTTCAGGAGGGTGGGAGATAATAGTTAGACTCAGTTTAGGAGAGTAGAAGTGCTTGTGTGAAAATTTCTGAGTGTATACATAGTAAATTGAACATCTAATTGCTTCGTCAAGACGCATCCATTATAGTCTGATCAGTTGCCTTCTATAACCTAAATGAAACATTGTCTTTTTTTCTTAAGCCTTTCGCCATTTGCCAAGTGCAAATGTGGATTTTCTCTTCAGTTCCTCAAAAGAAACTGCAGCAGCATGCCATCACCTTGAGTGAACACAGATGTTTTTAGGAAGTTAGCTTGCACGGAAATCAGACATGATTTGAGGAAGAAATGCTTATACTCCATCTCCTGCTGCTTTCCTCTCCACATGTGCATCCCTCCTACACCCACACCCTTATACTCAATCTTTTCCTTGACCTTTGGCTAATGAAATTCTTTGAATAAGTGAAACAATTCCAATTTGCCAAAACAAACTGGAATCGTATTTAACTTTGTCTTTGAGATACAAGAAGTCTCTAAGGTTATCTTCTGGTGGGAGCTGCACCATTCTCTGAAAGCTTTGTCTTTTCTCTCTCTTTTCACATGGACAGTTCTTAACCTAAAAATCAAACGCAGCTTTTCCTAGTTCTGCATTGTGTTTGAGTGGGTGTATGAAATGCTGATGTGGGAGATGTGGCCTGTGTGGCCACCTGGACCACAGGCCAGCTGGGTGACCCTGAGTTTCTCTTCTCTCCTGGATTCAGACTCTTCATTTGTAAAAATAAAAAATAAATAAATAAATAATAATAAAAAATATATATATATATATAAAAAGCAAGTACAGTCCCCCTTTGCACTGAATACGTACGGTATCGGTAACATGCTGTTAGTGCAGCTGAGGTGATGTTGAACTGAGGGGTGAAAGTGATGAGGTCTTTCTGAAACGCTTGCCTTTTTCTTTTATTTTTGGTTTGTTTTCTGTGCATTTTCTCGTTGTATCTTTGAGAAGAGTCTAGGTATAGCAATGAGCTTGAAGTGTAACCTCTCGCACTTGAAAATTATGCAGAGACAGCCTACTTGCTGAACTGTGTTGGAATTCTTCCTGGCTTATTTTCCTTCTCTTTCAAAGCCACTTGAAAGCAGTTAATAAGAGTAAACTTGCAACCTGTTGTGTGCTCAGCATGGTGAATGATAAAGAGCACACTCAGAGCGAAGTCATCTCCATTGACTCTGGTCAGAAGCTTACATACAGAGCTGTGTTTGAATACACAGAGCTACTGGATGACTTACAAACTCATCAGAGCAATGAGTTTCACTTCGTAACATAGCTTGTTGGGTTTTCAGGCTGAAATGTTGGTTGGTTTTTTTTTTTTTTCCCGCCTCCCTTAGCATTCACAGAAAATAGGCTGTTAAGAAGCGGAAAGCACACAATTTATAGCAGATGGGTATAAACTGCTCCAGCTCTACTACTGGAATGGGATCAATCAGGAACACTACATGCACCATTTACCCAGAAGAAACCCACCTGGGGGAACCCTGTGGAATTTTAGCCTATTAAGACAACACCTTAACAAGTTTAGTTTAAATAAAAACTTGTCGGCAGGCATTAAGCAGAGTGAAATCTCTCTCCCTCCATCATCCACTTGCCGTCCCTTGGAGGAATGTGACTCCCCTTGCACTGTGACAACAAAGCCTCTCCTTCCTGCTTTTGTTTAGCTTGTTCTTGAAAGCCAAGACCCACAGAGGTTCAGAAAAGTTCCACTCTATTTACTGGACTTCTAAATAGAAGGCATTTAGCCGAGCAAGGTGATTAGACTTTCAGTTGCATTGAGCTGCTCCCTTCACATGGATGTCTAGCAATCTCCCCTTTAGCCCATCCTTATCTTTTATTATTGTCTCTTCATAAATGTTTCTCTTTTTTATTTTATTATTTTACATCAGATTAATGATGCATACAATGCGCTGAGGGTGGGGGGAGCTTTCAAGGCAGCCCTTTCCCCTGGGAAATATAACAGTACACTGAAAACGTAACTCTAGTAAGGCTTGTAAAAGAGATTGGGGCATACAGTATAATGTAGCATAAAATCGAGTATGTGACTTTAAAGAAACAAATCTATTTTAGGCTAATGTTTTAAATTTTGTGTTTGCCCCTTTCCTTTTCCCCAAGGCGAAGTAAAATTCTTTCAAATCCATCACAAAGCACCAGGGGATTTGGGAGGAGAAGTGAGGCAGGCCGGAGTTTTCTACTGTACAACCCAAACCTTTTACCTTTGCTTTACCAGTAGGTGAACCAGAAAGCAAAAACCAGCATTAGGTACAATGGAAACTGGCTGCTTTGTTTTCTGTGTTTAGTTCCGTATGGGCATACACACGTGCATACCTCCACAAAGCCTTTGTTGCCTGCTTGCTACTGAAATCAATATTAAATATTGCTTTATTTTATTTACTTCCTCTTATTCATTAACCCTTGGCATTGTTGTTCTAGATGTAAAGTTGACATTTCTGCCCTGTCAATGAAGCAGACAAATTACTTAGAGCTGCCTCTGGAAAAACATCCGGGGTCCCTGATAATGCTGATTGCTGTCACCCCTTGTACGGGAGTGTCCATCTCTGATCTGTGTGTCTGCCCTCTGGGAGACCCCAGTGAAAGAAAACAGATTGCACAGCGCTATGTGAGTTTGCATTTCTTTTTTTTTTTCTTTTTTTTTTTTTTTAACCCCTTTTCTGCTTCTTTTTGCAAACCATCCAAAACTGCGACCAAAACAAAGGCAAAAAGAGAAGGGAAAAAAGAAATAAGATTTGTCCAGTCATAATAGCATGTCTCTTACCACAGAAAACTATTACTTGGAAATAGTTATTGTCTTTAGAATGACAAGTAGATTGGCAGGGCGGATAGACTAGAGCAATTTGGATGCTTGTATTTGTTGAGTTTTAAGCTAATGCTTTCCTTTGAAAACTTGAATTATGTTAAGACCTTATCATGAGGAATGAGAGACTTTGAATATCAAGGAAAGAGAAAATAGTACTTAGTTTTCTTTTCTCCTTTGGGATGATATGGAATATGTTTTGAATTTTCATGTTTGGGTGGACTGATTCATTTGATGGCTTCCATGCTTCAATCCTTTTAAGCTGAGCATGAAAGAATAAGCCTGTCTCTCTGTAAAATGGGGTGTGATTCTGAAGCACGATGAATTCAAATAACTTGATAACACTTTGAAGAGCACCTGATTTAGAGTGCTATCTTCCTAGACCCATGCTGCTTCTCCAGATCTACCTCTGTCTCATATTTTGTTTTGATGGGCAGGTGATATTTCCATAAGCAAGCAGAGTTCCTTCAGTCTCCATCATGAAATTAACGTGTAACTTAAGTGAACTAAGAATCCTCTTAAGAGCTGCTAGTTTGAGATGTCATGAAATTTAGGTTTTGCTATGCGTTGAGAAGCGGATAGTGGAAGGATGTACACAGATATTGGCTGCTAAACTGAAATGCTGTAGAAACAGGGAATGAATATTAGTAAACCATTTTGTAGTTCATCAATGTGTTTCTTACTGAATTACAACTTAATGTATCCTAACAAAATGTTTTTCTCTTTGCAGAGTATAAAGAATTCCTTCAGAGACATGAAGGACGTTGGTTTCTTACAGGTCAAAGTTTTAAAGGCAGTTGACCTCCTGGCAGCAGATTTTGCAGGTATTCCATTTCTGTTTTCCAGCATCTGATGCAATAATATATTTGGAGTGTTATTTACACTGACTGTTGAACAAAGGAAAGCAAGTCTCATTGCTTCTTTGCAGTGTGAAGCCTGCCCCAAGAAACTGAGATGCAAAATATCTTTGACTTGCACTCCCAAAATGTGTGGGACTAACACTTTTTAAAAATACAACTTCGTATTGTTTCTCCAGGGAAGGGCTAGAGAATTGATATTGTTCTGTACTGACTGCCAGGATATTATTATTTTTATTATCATCTTCTCCAGGATTCTGGAGACCTTTTAATTCCCCTTTGTATCTTGCAGCATCTCATAATTCACAGTCACAGCATTGTGTGCTGTATATTTGCTGACAGTCTGCTTTTTTTTTTTTGGTTTTGTTTTTTTGGTCAAGGATAACTTGTTGATAAAGGCAAGAACGATGCTAGAGAGAAAACACTCTTGCCCCATTCTCTGGAATTCATGCAGACAGTGTAACATAAGAGAACACTGCTCCTAAAATAAGGACCAAAGGATAAAACCCAGCATTAATCATGGTTCTATTTCAGTTTCAATTCCCTGCATCGGGAGAGATTTCTGCAGATACTGGTACTTCAAATAACTGAATAATTTAATTTGAAAACAAAGGAAAAAAGCCTTCCAATAAGGAAAGGTAGCTTGTGCAGCAACTTTGCAGTGGCGAAGCACGACCTTTGTCAAATGACAGTGCTAGTGCTGTATCAAAATATGTAGGTGGTGTGTAGGGAAAGAACTGAGCTTAGGAGGTTTTGGGGCTCTTTGGAAAACTTCACCGATGCTAAAGCAGTTCCATCGGTGATGGATTTGGCTCCCTTTCCCTCAGTTCTTAACCAGGAGCATTTGGGTGGATTATGAACATTGGAAGAGACGCACAGGTTCTTGATTCTGCAATTGAAAGACTTTTCATACAGGGTTTGTGACACACATTCCTTGTGCATAGCGGTGAATGAAATTCTGCTTAAGTAAAAGGTTACTCAGTCTGTCATTATATTCAAAATAACCCAGGCTTTGAGCCTGATTCATGAAGCAAATGACAAATTGTTTTTCAATGGCAGGGCTGAAAATATCCTAGTATTATGCTGTAATAGACCCACCAAATTGCAAAAGGATGCAGCCATTTTAGGTAAAAATAGCATAATTTCTGATCATGTAATGAGAGACATAAAGATTAATTATCTGTTCTGAGCCATTCATAAATGATTAGTGCAGCAATTATGGGCTTCCATAATAGAGCCCTCCTAGAGCAGTGCCGTATTTCCTGCATTACCAGAGAGACTGCTCAGATTTATTGTTATTGATAAAAGTAAACTCAAAGTCTGGCTAAAATCTGATAAAGGAATAATTGTGGAGACAATAAGAAGCACACAGATTTCTGAAGGCTTAATAAAGGAACTGTCTGAGCAGGTGGCATTCCCTCCCTGTGCTGTCCCACAGCAGTAGTAACAATTCTCAGGTGTGCAAACTTCTGGAGGTGAGAAGTGTTGTGTCACCTTACACCTTGTTCCTTACTTGGTGTGATTGGGAATTCTGTTTGCTTATGTTAGTGCTGTAGATCTGAAGTGCAGGTTTCTATCCCATGGAAACAACACAGCTCCTGCTTTGATCAGCGTTTTGGAAATCTGTACTCTGCCATTTGATACAAATTTTAGGCAAGTTTCTGCACAGATGTAGCAAATATGTACAAGTTCTTCAGGCACAGCCAGCCCAGTTTGAGCCTTCCACACTTGAATATTCCTAGATAATAGTTTGTTGATGTGAAAATGACTTTCTGCTTTATTGGATGTTTTCAGCGTATGCATGGGAGTTCTTGTCAAATGCTGCATTTGCTCACTGACCAAAAAATAGCATTCAGAATATCAGATTATACAGTGGGATTGTTTTTGGCACGTACCAGTTTGCATTTCAAGCAGTTTCTCTGAAGTGCTGCTTTTCAGGGAGTGGACACGTAAGCTGAAAAAAAGACAGATTCTAGTAGTGTACACAGTTCTTAAATTTTACCAGTATTGAACTAGTCAATGCCCACTGTTTACATACTGAAAAGATTCCACGTTATTTCGTATACTTTTCAGGGTAAGAACCTTAAGAGCCCTTCATTAATAGTAGATTACAAAAAAGAAAGCTTTAGCTTTAATATCTTCACCCTACTTCCTAAATCCCTGCATTGCTGCCGTACTTCCTTGCATATGTAGAAGTTAGGCTGGGTAGTCTGTGGCTGAATTGTACATGAAAACTGACAATGAGATTAAATCAGATACTGAGTCAGACACACTGATAAACGGAGCTCTGCTCGTGGTGCAAACTGCTGAGCTGCATTATACTCTGAAAGCTACAAATTCATGCAGTGTGCTTTATCAAAACCATATATTAATGCATTAGCAAACATCTGCACTGTAATATGTCCCACACCAGCATCCTTCTCTTTAGAGGGTTTTGTTTACTCTATTTGGTTTTTGGTTTTAAATACCCTGCCCGCTTCACACTTGGATTCTGCAGTTGGATCTTTTAGTTGATTTGGGTTTTACTGAAGCTGCAACGCTGTGTAGGGTCTCCTTAGCTTCAAGGATTTGCTCACATGGAATTGGCTGATGAAGTGCTACTGATACAGACACAGTGCCATGCGTCTCTTCTTGTGGTGTGCCTAATTAATCCTGTAATCAACTGGAGAAGACCACACACTCTAAGAAGAGGGTGAAAGAGCTGTAACTGAAGCTCTGGCACTCTCCTGAGTCAGAGTGACAGTACCTCTTTCATGTCATCTGAGTAGTTGTCAACTTGAGGAGATTAGAGATTACTCTCTGTAAATCTCAGATTTCAGGTATTAGAGCAAAGACACCTGAGTGGATTATAAAGTGGTGTTGATTTCAAAACTGAAGACGCAGTGGTGATATTGTTTATTTAGCACAAGTCATTCCACAGGTGGGAGGCAACTTCCAGTTACCTTGACACCAGTCAAGTTCGGTGGCTGTACTACAACGAAAAAATGCATGCTAACCACAATGACAGGTCCACCTTTCTTATTTTTTAATTCCAGTCTGATTTTCTTTCCATAGGTAAAAGTGATCCTTTCTGTGTGTTGGAGCTGGGAAATGACAGTCTTCAAACACACACCGTTTATAAGAACCTCAATCCAGAGTGGAACAAAGTTTTCACATTGTAAGTGAATTGCTTTTGAAAACATGATGAAACACCAAACAGTTAGCAGCTTATCTATAAAAGCTATTGACTTTGGAAAAATACAAAGGTCAAGTTAAAGATATGTCATTTTTTCATAGTCAGAAGAGGATGTTGGAGAAATATCAAATATAACTCAATTGGAGCTTTTTGCCTTTTAGTAGTTCTTGCATGGAGTTTATTAATAGAAGTCATTAAAAGAAGAATTACTGTGATATTTATAGGAAGAATCATGACTGGACATAATGGAGTTGTATCTGGATCCAAGAGATAATATAATGGAAAGTTATGACCAGATACTCATGCCTACGTTTTCCATAATTTGAAATAAAATGTTTCATGGCAGAATACCTCATTTAATTTATAAGCAACAGGAACAATGTGAGCTTTAATTTTCAGCTTGTTTCTTATGAATTTAAACTAATCAAAGATTGCTTAACACAAATTAGAAGCTTAGATTTTTATGAAAACAAAAGCGTGTGTTTTGGGGGTGAATTCATGAGTAAGAAAAAGTGATAGTTCAGTTACTGACAGTCAAATTCTTTATCTTCCTTTATGTTTTGTGATATCTGATTGAAATAAATATCTCCAAGGTTGTAATAGTCTGTGTCAAAGAAGGAAAGGGTGAGGGCTGGCAGTCGAGCATTTGTAGCATTTATAGAAGAATGGAAGAACAGTTTGAGAATTACAGATTTCTTGCAAAAGCAACATTCCAAAACACTTAGCTGGATGTGAACACAATAAAAAACATCAGATCTCTTTGATAGAAGTACTTTGCTGGATTTCTGTTTAATTCATGGATGCAGCTGAATGCATGTCTCTTGGAGTCCTTTCCTTTCCTTTGCTTTGTCTGTTTTCAGGAAGTTCCCACTCGTTGTTTATTCTGTGATGGTGCCAACAGATGAGTCTTTTTGGATGTTCGGACAATAAAATAAACCTTAATAAGAATCCCAAATCTTTTTTTTTTTTATTTAAAGGAAGTTTGTTTCTATACTTCCTGAGAGTCTCAGAAATGTCAGCTGCAGGCTATCACTAACTTTCTTATTGCTGGTGCACGGCTACTCTGAGCAGCAAATTTGCAGAGCCCATCAGGTTCCCACAACTCTCTTTAGATTTCTTTTTCTATTTTTTTTCCCCTTTAATCAAGATCAAACTACTTAAAAGCTATTGGTGATGATTTAGAGCAGAGTGGATTGTTCTTAGTGAATCCCTTTCAGATGGAGCATTTAATACCACCAAAGAGCCTTTCCTGTAATACTTGGTTATTCTGCAACGCACTTATTGTGTCACACTGTGGGTTTCTTAATATTTTATACCACTGGTGGCTATGATGTATGGAAAACTGTAATGGTTTGTTAGAGGTATGTGGAAATTTGGTTGCTGAAGTGAGGGGGTTTTGATGTATTTTAAAGATAAGGTCTTGTAAATAGTGCATATGTCATGCAGATCGTTCCTGGGTCACACTGAAGAACACACTATGGCTGCTAGCTGGAGGGACACGCAGGTATCTTCGAGCTCCTGACTCTGCTCTGCAAAGAGCAAATCCACAGTGTCAAAGGGAGAGGTTGCATGAGCGGGACTGCCCTGAAATGGCCTTCCAGGGAGGATAGCTGCACTGATTTAAATGACAAGCAGGTGCCATGCCATGTGCCTCTTCCTTTAATTCTAGCATGTGGTAGAGGGAAAAGAGGAGATAATGAATGCAACTCATAAATCAGCTCTGGTTACCCGGGTTTTGCAAGCACACACGTAACTTCTCTGAAATGAGTCTGATCTACTAATGATCTGATAAAATACTCAGGATTGAGTGCCTGCTGCCACACTAGTTGAAAATTTGGATTGAATGGAATAAAAATATTGTACATTTGGCCTTTAATTAGGGTTGTTAGGTTTATTATTTTTGAAGTAATTGGTTTTGCTAATAGTTTAAAAGGAACGTAATAGCTCAAGTCAAATGAAATTACATGTTTTGCTTCTTGGATTATTTTTCACATATGCACATATCCTGGAGCCTGGTTTTGAATTCAGTCCTGGACCCCTCCTGGCCCCCAGCTTTCTCTGTTTGAGAGAAGAGTTAATCCACCCTTGCAATCAACATAGATGCACAAAAAATGCCACCGTCTGGTAGTTGTTTATTCTTCACCTAGTTATGTGACTGCAACACGAGGGGAAAGCTTGGGGAATATCCATCATTTGATTCAATTTTTTTGGAATTTAATTAAATGCTAGTTTTATACTCCAAGGTAATACAAACTTAATTAGTAAAACAGCATTCTCAGATCTTTGTGGGGAAGATTGCGTGAATGTGTATCGAATATCACTGTTTGTGTCTGCCCTTTTCATTACAGCCCTATTAAAGATATTCATGACGTTCTGGAAGTGACAGTGTTTGATGAAGATGGAGATAAACCCCCTGATTTTCTTGGGAAAGTTGCTATCCCTTTGCTGTCTGTAAGTTACCTTCATACATCTTTCAAACATTGGTGGTTTCACTGGGAAGGAGTTGTGTTTCCATTCTTCTTAGTGCAAAGCAACAATCATTTGGAGACAAACAGCTTTAGTGACCTGTATGTGCCTTAGCTGGCAGTGTTTGTAGTCCTCTTTAGTGTAACAAGCATTGCCAGCCTATTTTAATAGAAATTTAGTTGATTGGAAAGAAAATTGCAGAAGTGTCTGTACTTCATCAGCACTACATGCCATGTAGGTCTGAAAACATAATTGAGTTGTTCTGTGTGTTTCCACATCATCTTCCGAAGGTAACATTTTATGCATGTCTTTGTTCTGTCTTGCTTCTTTTTGCTCCAGGAAAGTAATTGCACATCACAGTAGGATTGACTAGAGATAGCTGTTGTTATTGGCACAGCTGAATAAAATTACCTAAAAGGGGTGTTTTCTGCTCCACAGTGCTTTTAAAGACGGGTGGCTTTTGTTCTGTAAACAAATATGTGAAGAGTGAATGCTACCACGGGAGTATAAAATCAAAACTGGAAACAAAGCAAGCTCAGGGGAAAAGAGTTGCTCTAGAGATGAAGGAGTGTTAAAGGTTTTTCTGAAATGGCCAAAAAAAGGCCAAGCTAAAGAGAAGGGAACATGAAAGGGTTGTTATAAAGCATTAATAGAGAAATGGCTCAAAGCAGTTTTGTGTAGGGTGAGACTGATTTAATTTGGAACAAGGCTGGTAATAACAGAGTAAACCAGATCAAGAGGATGCAAACAGCTCCATGTGTGTGTTTGCAGTATCATAGAAGGTTCTGGTAAATTTTGCAGTAAAGTTTTCAAATAACTTTCTGGGTTGTTGCTTTTGTTAAATCAGTAGCTGAGGACAAGTCTCATGGACTCTTATATCATTCCAGTTCTGTAAGCACACACTTAACTTCAAGCGTGGGATTTCCCTTGAGTTTTGAAGCATCACATTTTGCAGTCGATTCCGTATAGAGAAGAGAGGGTATTGCAGGCTGTGCATGGGTACTGCCTTGTGCTCCATGCAAATATTCATGCTTACGGCATATCACACAGTGTGAGCAATGCTTGCAGTAGTGCAAACCTTTTGGTAATGCACAGTGTGATGCTGTGTGTAATAGCTCTCCTGAATAGGCAGTCGGTGAGTCTTGATTGAAATTACAGAGTTCAAAATTGCCGTATTGTTTTGAAGCATTCCTGTGAAGGCATATTCACCTCTGCAGAAAGGCTGGCGTGCATCTCTCACATTCAAGGCAAAAGAGTTTGACTCTTAGAGGCGGGCAACTGCAGGGAAAGCTCTGTTGTGGGAATGAGTTAGTGGGGCTCCATCCTTGCTGAAAGTGCAGTGATGGTAAGTTTCTAGAGAGAAAGCAAAAATTCCATTAAATCAAATCAGCCCCTCAGGGTCAGCTGGGAAATATATGGACGCAGGTTAGGTAAGGGACCAATCAAGAAGGGGGAAGTTGAACTACAAATATTTGATGTTTCCAAATAAATAATGAAATGCCTGAAAAGCTCTTGAATCGTTTTAGAGAATATGATCACAGCTTAAAGAATGCTTTATAGTGGTAAAGGAACAGGCTAATATGCTCCAGTTCTGTTACTATTTTGTTTATGTATATTTCTCGTGCATTCAAGTCGAAAGCAATGTGGCTTCTGAATTTCTTCAGGAACGTGTTTTTATGTTGATTTTCATCCACTCTGTGCTTTTTCTGAGCTATTCTGGAGTCCAGATTGTGGGCATACTTGGGATACAGAACCATAGAACGGCCTGGAGGTGACCTTAAAGGTCATTAAATCCCAGCCTCTCTGCCGTGGGCAGGGTTGCCAACCACCAGATCAGGCTGACTGGGGCTCCATCCAGCCTGCCCTTAAGTAAGGTGGATAAGACGTGTAAACTGGAGCAGTGGCTGTGGGGTAAATACCAGGCTTAAGGAGCCTCAGTGCTGCATTCAAGCAGCAATGCTAGGCAGAGATGCTCTATCCATTCATTAGGGCCGGAGACCTGGGTACTGCTTGATTGGGGTCACTGTAGGCAGAAAAATAATAAAACTTCCATTTGGGGACTTTGTGGAACAGATATGTTCATTTTATATATTCGTACCTTGTGTTCAAGCTGCCTTGTATTCTGTCTGCTTCCATGGCTTACACTGCAAGTTCTGTTTGAGGCTGGGGATGCTTTAGATTATTTGTCTATTTTTTAGTGGCTTGAGTCTTCAGTATGTCCACTTTCAGAACAGTATTAAAGTCAGTTTGGCACGAAGGATGATTTGATGTTTACAGGGAAGGAAAACTCTTAACATCTTTTATTCCATTTTTGATCACTTGGTTAATTTTTCCCCAAGTCCTCATATCTCTGATGTTCCTGGAAGAGAGTGGCTGGAGCAGCTGCTCTCCTGCAGACCCTGTGCTTGCCAAATGGTCTGCATGATCGGCAGCAGGCTGTGTGGGCTCACAGTGAGAAGATGTTAGAGTTGGATTTTCTGTTGATTTTATAGGCATTTGTCAAGTATCCCTTAGGAAGCATGTAACAAGGCAGAGCAGGGGAGTGCATGTGTGTGGTAATGTCCAAATTCTATTCAGCGTAGGTTTTTTGTCCAAAGTTTGAGACAAAAAATAAAATAAAAATTGTTTATGCTTTCCCTTGCCAACTGGTTTTCTTCCTTCCCATCCAAACTTCTCTGCCTCCTATTTCAGTCAAATCTAGCATAAATATATTCATCTCTGCTTCTGATTAAAAACATTTTGCACCTATTAACTTGGTTCAGACAGAGAATGGCAATTTTCTAAGCTCTTATTCTTGAAATGAGTATTTTGACGTATGTTGTGAATTTAGCTATAAATTTGAATCTATCCTTTGAACCATTTAGATAAATATGTTGAAAGTGAACAATAGTTAAAGATTCAAGGAAACCTCACAAATCATACAAGTTTAATTTCTTAGGCCTAATATTTGGCTTGCATTAGGTTCCTTTTTGAAATAGAAATGCATTTGCCTCTTTGTTCCTCTCATGTAAGTTAAAAATGCACTGGCCTGAGTTGTGAGCTGTCAGCACATGAAATCAGTTTCCTTCAGGAACTGTTCATGGATGGCTCGATTTTCTTAGTGAATAAATGCTTTGGATAGGGTATACGTTGGAGGGTTTGGATAAGTTTAATTTGAAAGAAAACTTTGGTTTGAATGTGTCCAGAAGTCTTGCAGTGGCATTTTGCAAACATGAATACACCTTCATCATCCCATTAACTCAAAGTCTCTGTGATTTTTTTTTTGTGTATTAATATTATGTTCGTGCTTCCCAGTCACCACTGACTGTGATCTAGGTTTATGGAATTCATTAATTAAGAAGCAAGCACATTTGGCAACAGAAGAAGAGCTTTAAAGTGACAGGAATAAAGCTGAAAACTTCACATTCTTTTGATGGGCATGACGACTGCGTGGTTGCTTTGTTTCTCATGGAGCTCTACTAATGAGCAGTGCAGACATGGATTTTGATAGCATTGTACCAAGCTTGGTGTTTTCTCTACGTGCAGATAGTTGTGGACAGGAGTGAAGTAGTGATTTGCCTTTTGCCATTTCGCAAAAATGAAATCTAAATGCAGAGCTTGCTTTTTACTTTTAGCTTTTCTGTGTTAATCAACCTATAGCATTTTTTCTCCTGCCCTTCTTTATGGTGAACGATTCTCCACCTTTAAAACATGTAAATGAGACTTCATCTCAAATAGTGTTCACAGCTCCAGAAATCCGCAGTCACAGAAGTGGCAGATAAACTGAAAAAGATGCAAGTTACTGCTACCAGTATTGAACAAAATGGAGCTCTGTTGTGCCAACGGTGACCTGGAGAATCTGGCTAGGAGAGGGATTGGATTCTCAGACATTGGGTAATGAGAGGGGAAAACCAGACCAGTGAACATAGCAGGTTTTTGTGCTAGAAACTGAAGAAGACACAAGAAATGGAGAAGTAAGGCAAAAAGTTAAGTGCTTCAAGAAGGGAGTTTCATGGGTTTAGTGATTTTTCTTTTTGTAGGTTTTAGGGACTTGAACTAATTATGAAAGTAGTCCTTCCCATCTGTGTTCATTTGTGTCCTCGGTCTTACTGAAAGCAGCCAGGTTTCTGTCTGTAAGGCTCTGCCTTTTTTGCTTTGCTTCAAGAGGCTCCTGTCTCCTGGAGGGCTGCAAGCAAGAGGCATGGGATCATATTGTGTGCTTCAGTAAATCTTAAAGCAGGGTATATCAAATATCCTCATGTAGAAAGACCTTTGAGTGAAGAGTTGTATGGCAGGCTGGAATGTTTTTATCTGCTGAGTTATCAGCCCAGAGTAGATTTCAGCTGCGCCCTTTTTTCAGCAAACAGGAAGAGGTCTCTGAAATGTTTCCAAGTGCGGCACAAGGTCGGTAGCTAAAGATACAGTGGAAACAACTAGCATGACTTTTGCAAGCTTAATTGTCTGAAACACGGCCTGGATTCAGAGAACAGACACCTGCCAGTTGTGATTACTTATCGCTTGACCATAAGTATACAGCCTTTTGCAGGAGGAAGGTTTAGAGTTTGAGAGAGCTGTGGAAATGCTGAGCTTATATCGCAGAGGCTGCTGTGCAGTAGATCATCTGTTCCGATTTTCACTTCTCTCACAAACCAGAAATGTTGGAATGAAGGTAAAAGGCATCGCTTCCAGAAAGAAAAGGACACCTTTTTTCTGAAATAAAATATTGCTTTGACAGTGCTCTGCTTATTGAAGATAGCATTGTTGGGATGATGCGGGTGTTTTTTGCTTGATTTTTTTTTTTTTTGAGTGCTACTTGAGGTCTTGGCCTCAGAGTGCTCCTGGGGCTTTCAGCATCTCTTCACTCTGCCTTGGAAGCTTGGCTGCCTGCTTTCAGACAATTGACCCCATACGCGTTCGGTCTTTGGACATCAACCCTCTGCCAAGAATGTGCATTTCTATTGTACTTCGGGTCCTACGAAAGATTATTAAAAGCAAAATGTTTGGGGGAAAGAGTTTGGGATGAATGAATGGACATTTTGTATAAAATCTAATGAGCGTATATTACAAGGCTGAGGAGAAACAAAAAAAACCTCCTTACTCATATCCAGGTGGATCAAATATGTGCCTTGCTTTCATCTTTTCCTGGGGAAATATGTCCTTTGATAAGAGAAGGTGTGTGTCTATAACAAGACAGCTTTATGTTATTCAGGGCAAATGGTATGACATTGTGCATCAGCAATGAGCTCAAGCAAGAATATCAGAGGTCCCAAATGCTTTAGATGAATTACCTTTGGAGAGTAGCCATTACCCTTTCTGCACGTCACGGGTGTTGATGTACAGAGGTTTAACCCAGCATTGTTCTGTCAGGTCATCGATATATGATATTGAATCTGCATCAAAGCTGGATACGGAGTGAAGTTTTCTTAAAATCAATGTGCAAAAAAAAAAAAGCCACTAAACCATATTTCTTTGAGACAAGAGCAATGAAAAAACACCCTTTGCTGCGTAAGGGTCCTGTCTTCTCAGTGTTTTGTGTCATATCAATCTCGGCTTTCGCTATTTCATTAAAATTCCCAAGCGGTCAGAAGGTTGTTGCTTAATAGATTTAGCATTGGCTGGCTACATCAATACTGTGTTTAGTCACATTTGTTTTACTGGGGACATCTGTGGGAAGAGTTTAGCAAATATATTCACTCATTTGAAAGGAACTTGATGCACTTTGGGCCTTGACTGTGCTGTGGTCTCATGCACCTGAACATCTTCTTCCAGCTGGGAGGGCAAGCTGAAGCACTGCCAGAGGTTACCTCTGCTTGAAGTGCTCCTGTAGATAGAAATACAGAGTGCATGAAGAATTTTAGCTTTGCTTCCAGCTGGTAACTTCTGTATAGAGGAGGAATTATGATACAGAAGAAGGGGTGAATTGTACTGTTGAAATAGTGCTGCTGGTATTTTATCTTTCTGAGTTGATTCAGAACACAGAAATACCCCCAAATATCAGAAATTTTAATGGGGTGAGAATGTTGATTTTTTTTTTTTCTTTTTTTTTTTTTTTTTCTGATGGTAACTGTGTCTAATGAAGCTTTATCAATGGGATTGGTACTACTATCCTTCTGTGCTTGTGGGCAGTCTTGATTGTTGATTGAACTCCAGTGTATTCCATGCAACTAACAAGCTTTCAAAGAATGCAAGCATTAGTATAACTTAAGGAGACATATATGCACGTGTGTGAAATTAATAAGGGGATAATATTGATAATATCTCTTGAGGGACCTCACCTGTAGGTGTTTTCACTTTTAATTCCCATATTCCTTTCCATTACATTCTTGATGCTTTTACATAAGTTAAACAATTTTAGACATGGTTATCAGGACTATTAGTTCAGGTATCTAGTGGAAGGTGTTTTGAGCAGCAGAGAAATTTGATCTTTCTGAATTGAGGTTCCTAGGACCTCAGCACAGGGTACGACATTGTCCACAGCTGGAGAGAACATGTGAGTGGTTTTTGCAAATAGCAGGGATAGGAGAAGAGCTCCCAGAGAGGAGGAAGAAACGGATCCCAAATAAAATTAATATGACTGCTTGCCTCTTGAGACAGAGGGAAATGTTGAACAGAATCTAAACTCTGGACCAAAAACAGAATAGATCTGGATGCTCTGTTCTGAGTACAGTTGAGACGTGCTGTCAGTTCGATCTCTATGCAGTCATGGGTGTTAGAGTTACCTTACACCTTTTGCTGAGCTGCACTACCATAGCATGTTGCCAAAACTTTTGAGAGACTTCTGTTTGACTTTTTTTTTATCAAGGTTTTTTTTTTCTTCATCCAAATGAAAATGCCAGTTTATAGCCAATTGCTTTTTTCTCTTGTACTTCTCTCTCCTTGAAGAAGGTCAAAAGCTAGGAAATCTGTATTAATTACCAGACCTTCTCCTTCCTTTTATTTTTTTTCACTGAATTTAGCAGTGTGTGCAGTGTCCTTCCTTACTGGCTGTGCTCTTAAAATATGTTGGTGAGAAATATATCCAGACAGATTTCCACGTGTCCTTACTGCTGAGTTATGGAAGCATTTCATCCTAAGAATAAAAAGTTGTGAGAACTTTTTGTAACTGAAATACATGAAAATTCAGCCCCCAAATTCATAAATAAGAAGAATCAATAGTTACGCAGTGTTGATATGCACTGGATATCTCTATCTCTGCAGACACGCTGCTAGGAACAAAGCTGCTTCTTCTATGCCTTCTTCTGGTGCCGTTGCATTAGATCAAAGCAATAATAATCTCAAGCCAAGTCCATTTGGCCTTTTATCTCTTCGCAGATGAAATGCAATTTTCAGTTTGGAAAATGAAGCATCTTTAGTTTCTGAATAACTTGGAGTGGTTTTGTTTTCATCCCGTATCTTTTAAAACTGTTTCTGCCTTTGCTAGGAGGTGGTGATGAGGGAACTATTGAAGTAGCAGAATCCTTTCTGATGGGTAAACAGTACTTTATATGGCAGTTGGTCTGAGGGCCATCTGATGTGAGTGATCCTACAAACGGGGTTGGCCACTTCCTTTGTCTTTAACTCCAACCCTTTGTGTTTGTCCTTACATTGAAGGCAGGTTCGTGATCAGTGCCTGTTATTATTAAAGAGACTCTGCAATTGATTGCATGGCTCCCAGCATCCTGTTAAGCTCAGCTTTGGATGAAAGCATAGTAAAAGCTGGAATTCCTGTTTGGACCCTGATGAGGATGCGAACTTGGGCTTTATGAGAGCCTTCTTCCTTTTTAACTGTCAGCCAGGAAAGCCGTCTACCCTTCGACGAGCTGTTTGGTACAGAAAGGGTGGAGCAGCATTGGGAAGGAAAGTGACCTTTCCCTTGTAACGTGAAATCGCTTGGTTCCTATTATGCCTTTTTTTTTTTTCCTCCTTACTCATTTCTGCCATGGTTTATACGAGTGCCTCTTCTAAATGCCAGAGCAGCAATAGCCGTTTTAAATATGGTTGCAATTTCATGCCCCCAAATTTCCTCCGTTATCTTTAATCTTTGATCATTACAGTCCCTGAATGTAGCTTTTTGGTAAGCTGCAGTTTTTTATGTTACTGCTGTTTAGAATTAACTGGTCTGCTTCCTAAAAAGCCAAATGTTTAATCAATACATATCCTACTGTGTATAATAAATACATTTCTGCCATCACTTTTAGAAGAGAGAATGCTTTTGATTTGAGCCAAATAGTTTACAAAATGGTGAGGGAGGGAGGTTGTTTTTCTTTTTATAGGCGTTTAATGTGATAGGGCCAACCGGCAGATTAGAGCATGGAAATGGTATTGAAATTCAGAGGTGGGGGGAGAAGTCTCTTACGTGAATTAGTTAATTTTGAACATTTGTTACATTAACATTCATTCCACTTAAGCTGATTAATTTCTTTGGATTGTGTTCGTTTCCTGGGTAATAATTTGACAACCTTGCAGTAAGCGAAGCATTTGAAGTGAGTTCGTGTACTGGGGTGTGCAGTAGGTGGGTAAGTTGTTGTCGTGGCTCTTTTTCTGAACTTTGGAAGAAAAATTCCATTTTCAACCTGTAATAACGGAGGCTGATTACTTCCCATCAACTCACTGGCTTCCAGGGCAGAATTTTCAAACTGGTTATTGCATGCACTGCTCTACTATAAAGTACAAGGTTTGTAAATTAAAGTTGGACCATAAGAGATTTAATCTGCAATTTTATAGGTCTCTAATCCAATGGTCATTTTGTATTTCAGGCTCTGAGTATATTATCATGGTTTGGGGAGGATTTTTGTGCTTGTGAGATTTTTTTTTTTTTTTTTTTTTTGGTAGTGTCTTTTAAAATTACATTGTAAATTACAGCTGGGAAAATATTGATGCTTTTTGTCTTCCCAATCTATAGATCAGAAATGGCAAACAAAGTTGTTACATGCTGAAGAATAAAGACTTGGAACGTGCTTCAAAAGGAGTAATTTACTTAGAGCTGGATGTCCTATTTAATCCCGTAAGTTAAAATATTTTCTCTTTACTTATCATTTGTGTAAGAAATGTGGAAATATGTGCACCTGGGAGGGAGGTAATCGATCCTTTGAAAGCAGGAACTGAGCGGGAAAAGTCCTGACCTCACTGCATCTGGTTGCAATGTTTCATACTGTGGGTGAAGAGACATTGGCACATCCTAACGCGACAGCCCATCTGGGTGGATGGAACAATGCAGGGGCACTTCAGGACTTACAGTGACCACAGGAGCTTTAGGAAGGAGGTGTCAATTGCCATACACCAGGGCTTCGTTTGCAGCAGCCAGAAAAGGGCTTAATGTTTAGATTATTATGCATTACTTTTAACACCTACTTCCTCCCAAAAAAGCTGACCCACAATGTTCTTTTCCCAGGGTGTTGACAGGAAAATTAATGAGGCATGTATGTGGTGCACTTAGTTTTTAGGTGGCTGAGTCAGTCTCAATTGTTTATGCCCTCCAGCTTTGCTGAATGGAATCCCATTTGTTAAGGCCTTTGTGGGCTGTGCCGCAGCTCTGCCTTTGCCAGCCCTGTGGTACAGTGAGAGTGGTTAGCAAAACTCCAGGGAACAGGGCAGAAGCAGTCCAGGTTCTTCCACCTATACGTATTGAACGTGCAGGATGATGAATACTTATTTCATTTCCTCCTTAAGGAGCCCTCTTGATTTCTTTTAGTCTTCTCCTAGAAATCCCTTAAAAGAGAGAAAAATCCTAGTGCTATAAAGAATAATGAATTTAAAAGTACATGACTTTCTTATTTATTTTAGATCAAAGCAACTATTAGAACATTCAAGCCCCGCGAAAAGCGCTTCACTGAGGAGAACCGCAAATTTTCTAAGAAGGTAAAGGTTATCTCTGGGCTCGGCTCTGATGCTTACTTGGGAAAGATTTGAGTTACTGTGGCCAAGAACAACACCCATTTACGTGTAGAACACTGAACACATGTAAATTCTGTGCATTTCGTTGTGTTTAAAGGCTTTCTGATCTAGTTTGCGTCAGTAGTTCGGCTTTGTGCCTCAGAACAGGGAAAATGATAGTTGTGGGTAATGCACGGTTAAAAGCACCTGAAGCAAAGCACAAGCCCTGTTCTTTTATTTCGGAAGGAAGAAACCAGATTTACATTAGTTAAAAACTCTACAGATTTTAGAACGATGACTGTTATCCTTTTAAAAACAAAGCTAAAATTCTCATATTTATTTCTCTGGATGAATCTAAAACATAGAGAAGAGGTTCTGTGTTTGGATTAAATTATATCTAGTCCTTAGTTCTGAGGCATTACTGTATTATGGAAATTGCAAGGGAATGTAGGTAGGTTTCTGTTACTGTTCTATTTAGTTTTGGCAAGATGTTGTTTTTGTTTTTTCTTTTTGCTTTATTTTCTGATGAATAAGGAAAATCTGGGAGGTATGAGTGTAATCACAAAGCAGACAGGAGCAGGAGAGTGCCTTTGAAATAGAAGCTTTATTTGTAATATGTGCCCTGGCATGCATTTGTAGCTTAAATTATCCCTGTTTCTGAAGCAATGGTAGGATATTAGAGTGTTTGATTAAACTCTTCTCCTCCCCTCCTCCCACTCAATATTTATCAGATCTTATCGAGGAATGTTGATCGTGTGAAAAAAATCACCATGGCAATATGGAATACAATACAATTCCTTCGGAGCTGTTTTCTCTGGGAGTCCACGGTAAAGAGTATGATAGCATTTGTGGTAAGTGGATTTCTTCTTTTATTAGATGTGGCTAAGTGATATAAGATCTTGAGTGTTAACGTGCCATCCTCTCCACCAGTCCAAAGCCATTTATCGTTTGCAGTTATTGGTATTTTGTAGCTACACGGCTGCAGGGTGTGCAGTTTTCAAAGGCAGCCAGGTCAGCGTTAGGTCTGCTGGACGTGGAAATTGAACCTTCAGAAGCAGCCTTTTTTTGCTATGTGCAGAGGCTCTTGTTGACCTGGGCCACCCATGTGTGGTCGGTGATAGACTGTAAGGGCTGTGACCATATGGCTGTTCTGTATTGCTGTTTTGGCCCTTCCAGAGCATGGAAATTGGATGGTAGGAGAGAAGAGAGATGGTGGCCGAGAGAGTAGGCACCATCTGCAGTGAGATGTCATTGGTTGTCATGATGCATGAGGAGGCAGTTAGCTGCAGATTACCAATGTCTGCTCTGCCTGCAGCTACCACACAGCATGCTGCATGTCCCCCTGGCACATGAACAGCTTTGCCAGTTGCAAATTTATCCCCTTAATCATCACAATAAATTTCTTTCCTTTTTTTTTTTTTTTATCAATTAAATATTTATACATATGAAAGGACAGAGAAAGGCTGGTCAATGAGTTCTTCTCTCTGCAAACAAAAAGCCAAATTCTCTACCTGCCATTCCCACTCTCTCCATTTTCCTCTTGGTAGTAAGCACCCCATTTGCAGTTTTCTCATAATCCATGCAAGCACAGAAAGGTTTTGCATGGTTTTGATTCTGTGGTGTGACATTTTCTTCGTGCTTGAAATGTTTGGCGTGCCATTAAAGGTTGCAAAATCATTTTGTGGTGGTCCAGCATGCAAAAAGAAAGCTTTTGAGTGTTGATTAAGTAAAAGGACAGCCACGTCTTCAAGATTTTTCCTTTTATACTCTCTGTGCATTTTAAATCACCTAAAGGCTCTTTAGAGGAAGACACTTCACAGTGTATTTCTTACAGATAAGTAAAGTGATGGAAAGAAAATCAGAGCAAAGACCCTGCAAGTTATAGACATGACATGCACTTTAAGATAGGACAAGAGGATCTTTTCTGTGTGTTTTTTTTCTGCTTATTCAAATCGTATCTAGCATTAGTGGCTCAAGAGCTGCTTACTAATATGTTAAAATGTTGTCTTCTTTGAAGACAGAGATGCTAACTGATATACTGTAGGTTGTGCACAGATACATTGGAAGTGCTCAGAGAAAGAAAACTTCAATCAACCTAGCCTTGCCCTTTGGGCTTTAAGATGGTGGCTTTCTTGAAAGAGTTGGAGCTGCTATGCATGTGTGTTTGTTTGCAATGTTTGGTAGCTCTGAAACTTCTCTCCATGTTGTGAAAGAAATCTACATGATTGTGCAAGGAATTGTATGGTTGTACACACAGGCTGCAAAGGTAGTAGGGGCATAGGTAAAATCCCAGTGCCAACACTGTTCCATCACTGTTAAACAGGAACCTAACCATGTGCTTAGGAGATTTTCTCCGTCAGGAAATAAATTACTTGTGAATTAAGGCTGTGAAGTTTGTTTTTCTGGACTTAGGAAAAGTTTGTAAGTGGTAGAAAGGTATAAAATAAGAATCTGGGAAAGTGGGTCCACAGAAAAAGGAATTCATTCAAGGTGAAAAGGAAGATGAACAAAAGAAGTGGTACGTTACAAGTTACAGATGTTAACATCTTTACTGGGTAACATAATGCTCCTGGTTTCCTACAGGAAGTGGGTAGTGGGAAGGGAATAAAATGCACTACTAAGGATAATACAAGCAGATTTCTCCTACAAACCAAAAGTTAAGTGTATTTGATCTTTTCCACATGGCAGTGATTCCATTTAGGCATTTATAATGAAGTGTTAATACCCTATCTTTTGCTGTTTCCAGTATGTGCATTCATAGTTGGGAAAATATATACACAGCAAGATCCGTGCTGTACCCCACTGCCCTGACGTGTACCTGTAATCCAGTCTTTAACAGTTAAAAAAAATGTATGTTAAAATATGTCATTTTTAAAATCACTGTCCTCCACCAAGCAACTTCTGAATACTTTCTTGGAATCAGCTTGCCCTGAACCATGCTGTTGTTAGTAACATCCTGCTTGTATCTGGCACTAGAAACCAGAAGTGGGGAAGGTGCACAAAGCTCCTCACTCAGCTGGGAGAAAATATTTGTAAGAATTAATCAAAAGCATTGCCGTGGGAGCTCACATATATCTTTCACCTTGCTGTTTTAGTCTTCATTACAGTGCACCTCCTTGCCAGTTAGTACTGACAGCTTCCAAGTGCAACAAGGATGTTTGCTGCTACATTGGGGCACACAAAAGAAAAAGAGAGAGGAAATGGCAGGCAGGACCCAAGTGGATGAGAAAAATGCTATCGTCATGTTCACCTATTTATGTGTCATCCCAAGCTAATATGTTGATATACTGGCTAAATTGGCACTTGCAGGAAGTGTTGCCGTAATGTTAACAGTGTTCTTCTACTGGGAGAGATCTTAAGTCTTTGTGTGTTCTTCATCATGTACTCCATGGAACATACTCGTCAAAAGGGGCTTTCTTTTGAAGGTATTCCAAAACATACTGTAGTGTATGCCTTTATGATACTGTTTGTGTACCTAGCACTCCCCATATCATACCCTGAACAATTTGTTCCTGGTTTCCCAAGCAAATATTGTGGTGTTAGTTTTGTCCACCTCGCTCCTTCTTTTTGTCACCTTTCTTCATTGAGGCATCACTTCTGCACTGTGTTAATGGTGCCCAAAAGACAGGAGCTGCATGGTGAAATGTGCCTGTGGGAATGTCTGCTTACATGTCAACTCATATATCCATGTGATAATAAGTTGTTTTTCCCACTTGTTGATATGAAAACTTGTGTTACCTTTCCAATATGCTTCCAAGCTGAATTCCTGCTTCTACCTTCTAGTTGCATGATCTCTCTGCTTGCTCTTCTCCCTCTTCTTACCAAGTTGGTTGTAGAAGTCCATAATCAGAACTTAATCATTTCTACTGCACAATATGTATTTTAAAAATATTTTAAGACTTAATTTTAGTCACAAGAATGGTTTTCGTGAGGAATTATGCATCGTTGAACGTTGTGCTTGTGATTTTATACAACGTAATTACACCTTTTATTGACAGTTTTCCTCTGAATTAACGGTAATTATGTCATTTAATGAAATTACAGTAATTGCTTAAAAAAAAAAAAAACAAGAAAAAAACAAAAAACAAAAAAACAAACAAAAAACAACCAACTATAATCCGGAGCAAATTGAAAGGATATATTGACTGGAATTTTTTACGATCATATATATATATTTTGGTGAAGTTTGTGTGATAGTTGCAAGACATGGACATGTTCAGGCAAACGATGGGGAAGCAGCCGCTGTGGCACCTCAGGTGTGACTGGCAGCACTTGCTGGCAGTGTGCTTCAGGGTCCCTGCACACGAACCCCTGCCAGAATACTTCATTTTTACTGGCGATGTGTCCTCCTGCATCAGGTTCAGGCCTCTGCTAATCAGGGCTGTTGCCAGGGTAGTACAGGTGGGAGCTGTATTTCAAGCTCTGCCCTAGCTAGTAGCCAAACCAGTGAACAGCATGCATGGGCAGTATTTATTTTATTTTGCGGTGACATTACAGGGTAATTATTTTATGATGGGATACTACCATCACAGGGAAGGAATATATGATGATGCAGCGTAATTGTGGTTAAAATGTGGAGTTTCTGGTCAAACTGTCTGTAGTTATTTAATGGTGCACAGCTGGGAAAATGACAGGCATGGGACCATTTTGGAGTGTTTGGGTTTCCCAAAAGCCAGCTGATTCAGGGGTAGGGAAGCATTGGGGATTTGAGATGTCCAGCAGAGCTGCTGGGAGCTATAGATGCAATAGCAAAGCCACACTTAAGCTTTTGTACTCTTTTCTGGAGAGGTGGGATGTTGGCACCCTCTCCAGTTCAGAGCTTCAAACCTTTTTGTAAATCAAAAGGAGCTGGAGGATGCCCAGCTTTCTGGCATTAGCCTGTTGGGGCTTTGAGAGCCATGGGGACGCTGGCTGGGACTGCACTTTACCAGATTGTGTTGGTCCTACCCTTGGATAACATGGAAAGTTCAACCCATGAGCTCAGCAGCTCACGTACGTTGGGGCAGTGCTTAGCATGCCCTTTAATGTGCAGCCACTTAAGTTTGTGATATGGGAGCTGTTTCTGAGCCCAGTTAAACTCATCTTGTAGAGGAGACACCAGCCATCTTAGTAGACATGAATAATTTTTAATCCCCCTTTGAGTTGAGCTATATTTATGCTGGTGACCTAAAGACAAAAGGCTGAGAGCTTGTTGACAGTGGCTTCTAAAATCACTAACTGTGCATCAGTAGGAGGGGAATGTACTTTTTCCCTCAGGAACGATGTTTGTTAACTCAAAATTTAAGTCTTCTGAAATCAGCTTGAGGTGGATCTTTTATTCTGCATATAGGCAAGCATCTTTTGAATGTGATGCTGAGACTTTTCCAAGCAAAATGTTCTAATCCTGTTTGTACTAAATATAATGCCGCACTGGACATGACAACAGAATACTGGTAGAACATCCAGTTTAAGTCATGTGTTGCTTTGCAACACGAGAAATCTATGGAGAAATTAGACCAATGACATTCAAACAACTGAGGATAGAGTCTGAGTGTTGCCAAGCATCTCTCAGACTTTGGCCAACCAAGCAAAAGATAGAATATAAGTTTCACCACAAATTCATGCATGAATTACCAATAGGTGGTAACAATTAACTTGCAGGGAGTTGAAGGAACATACAACTCTTACATTACCTTCCCCAAATTTTTATATGCTACTTGAGCAGCCCACTGACTTTGAGCAGGCAGTTCTCTGATACAAAGGACAAGCCAAACCGTCCCACTACTACATGTGTAACCAATGAGAATGGTATAGTCTTTTTGTTCTCTCTTTCTTTAATTCTTGTAGCTGAAGATGAAATATAAATCATTGT